TAATAAAGACCCGACTGTCGGGGATATAGCCACAGCGATAATTAAACCATTTTTAGTTTAAAGAGAATGATGGCAGGGAACGCTCGACCGTAAAAAATACTTTCAAAATCAAATAATATCAAAATATCAATTCAAAATTAATAATGAAAAGCCAACAAGGTAGGTACATATAGTAAACAGAGAAAACATTCAATGCCAATGCAAACATCATCACAATTCTAGACATAACTTCATAAGATTTCAGACATTTTGTAATATTAGTACCTACCTACTTATTTAATGTTCTATAAAGTGTAGGTATTTATAGTTTGTTGTCATGTTTCATAATGATCCGATCTATTTAACTAATAACAGCCCCTTTTGGCCTATTCACTATTCAGTAATCAGTATTCAGTAGGTATGTGTACCTATACAATATTTAAATCACATTATTTAATTAGGTATTAATATTTAATTTAATGTATGTAGATGTACATATACAATATAGTACAATTATAGTACAATATAGCACATTATAAGTACATTGATTTTATCAAAGGAATCTTTCATAATTATGGATAATAATAACCTAACCTATATAATAATATATGTATTTCATTCACATTTATGAATTTCTTTTTCAATTTGGACATTTGGTATTGTTTGAAAAAAAACACAAACGAGTAATAACTACATATCACTATATAACTATATACTATAGGTCTATAGCCTATATTTACATGATGCAGGTGACTAGGTACCTATACCTACTTAATATTCACAATAGTATATTATATTAACCTTAAGTTAAATATTAATAAAAAATAATGAATGAGTAACAAAAGATGATCATATATTTATACAGGAACTATAATTTATGATAGAAACATTCTTTGGAAACGATGTACATCTCCTCGACAGACTGGACATGTTCTTGGATATTGATCATCCAACACTGAAACGCATGTTTCGCACACCCAGCCGTGACCACAAGGCAACACTATATGCTGAGCTACATTTTCGCCAGGAGAAGTAGTTAAACAAACCATACAATTTCTTGGATTGTGTACTACTTCTGGTGCATTTTGTGGTACTTCTGGTCTGAGTTCTTGACCTGGTTCAATAAAGTCATCTTCCAAAACATCATCATTTGACTCATGATCATGTTCAATACCTAGTGCCCAATGTCTTTGCCTTCTTTCATAGCCAGCACAGGAATGCGAACATTTCACTAGAAATTGCCATACACTTAATAGACCGGCTTCATGATGTTCAACAGCCCTTTTAATCAATCTTGAATTAAGAAGGTACTTGGTTTTAAGGTTTCTGGTTGGTTGCAGACCATTTGAAATTTGATTAACCGTAGTGTGATACTTTTGGCTCAACTCACATATTTGACCTGATTCAATAAAATTAATTATTATATTTTATAATATAAGTGTTTTTTATATGAACATAATATAATAATATATGGTACGACTAAATACTAAATATTCAATTAAATGTTCAACACCTTTGCAAATTATATTATACACTGCATTCTACAGTATAGTGTTTACTTGATATTAAAACATAATATTACCTATATTTATGATTGTATATCAATATAGATAGTATTACATGTTAAAATAGGTAGGTATGCATTCAAGAACTTGGGGGGTATTGCATAAAAACACCATTGAAACACTCAAATGTACATTCTAATTTTAGATCCAAACTTTAAAGTTGAAACCTATGTTAATAGAATTCAATATATTGTGTGGATTTCATCTAGTGATGTAGTTAAAAGTTCTATTACTAATCGCCATTATTGCCAATGCTTTAGAGTTTAGACCAATAAAAAAAAGAAAAAATTGTATTTTATTGACAAAAGTAAAAATAAAATAAATTGTACTAAAATAATATGA